GTTCCTCCTTGTTTTAACCAACGTGGGCAGTGCTCCTTCATCCGTTGGGATAGTTGCCTCGCCGTATAATTGGCAGGAGACGTTTACTTTTCTCCGATTCAGGTGTTAATGCGGTTTCATTGGCTCTTGTTGTTCACCTTTGTTTACGGTCCATCTTCAGCCCCTTCGTGAACGTACGTTTTAGTCGCAACCTATCCCTGTTTCGATCCAAGCAGGTCGGCATACTCAAGCAATCTTTAGATATTCGCTACCTCGGCTTGGCTTCAGGCAAAGACTCACAAGCAACATTCGCAGCGGAATGCATTGCTCAAATGCTCAACTGCTCTCAATGCTCATCCACATCATCACATTGAGACGCGATAAAGTACACAGACTGTTGGAACAGACGCACGATGATAAGCTGACCGAGTTTGCCACTTTTATTGGCGATCATCTATTTTAAGCGTGAATTTCATCAGAAGTGATGCGTNGTTAGAATCAAGGCATGTAGTTCAATTTGGTACTGAAGTACGCCAAAGCCAGCTCACTGCTCACTGTGGTTGAATTGGAACGGCATGTTGCCGTCTTTTGAGAGCGGTTGTGGAAGTTTGTACTGTACAGGAACAGGTGGTTGTCTGGGCAGAACTGAAAATGTCGGTCACCTTTATCCGTTCACTGGCAGGGTAGAGCTGGATGAGTTCGGCGGGCTTTTGAGAACTCTTCTTGTTGTTTAAATGCGATGGAAATGTTTGCGATAATCAACAAAGAGCACTGGACAGCTGTTTCGTCATCATCAAGAGTGCCTGGTGCAGTATGTCGGTACATATGTTGAGTTGATCATTAAAAGCTCTTTTGTGTTTGTTCCCTTCCGAACGCCGATCGAGTCCTGGAGTCGCATCAAGCATAGCCGTATGTAGACGTTGATCCCATAGATTGGTGACACTTCAGCCAAAAACCTACCGTCAGCTTACCTAGTGAAAAATCCTTGTTGTCTCCGGATATAGCCTGAAAACAAATACGACGCAATCAAGTGACTGGATTCTGAATTCAAGTCGCCATCACGCAGCAAACGTCGATTGCTGAGGATTCCATTGTAAGAGCCAGAGAAGCTTGTTGACCCTGCTGTTGACGCAATAGCAGTCGTCACTCTNTCACTCTGAGGGCCAAAAGAAGAGATAATGCAAAACGATTGTTCGCTGAAGACAAACAATTCAAACAAGTTCCCGCCACCCATCCCACTTGACACTTTGAACAGCGCGGTCCTGATTGTTCTGCGCGACGATTGATGTATGCAGTTTGTAATACTCTACGTTTTGAGTATATATTGCAGTTTGATGTACAGGTACTGTGATAAGGAGTTTAACCACTTAACAGGAAAACCCTTAGGGATCACAAGGAAATCCCTTGGCTCTAACAAGGACCGAATCACCAGGTGGCAAGTGAAGCAGAATGAATTTCCATTTACTTGGTTTGAATGTTCCTTCATCATTTATCACCAACTGAGAAGCTAATTCGAGTCGAACTCCCAGTCTATAGGACCAAGGTTCGAGACCTTGTCTGACATCTGCTCTTCCACTTTCCAAAAAGAATTAAAAGTTCGGTTAAATATGAGCCATTCCGTGTAGTTCGTCGAGTTTACCGAGTTATAAATGTCAGCGCATGATGTCAACATACAATCTCGTTGAACAGCTTGGTTCATATGACTGAAACACCCGTGGCCAAAGAAGAGTAAGGCTTCTGACATGTTAAATTGAAACACTTGCCTCACTGGAACTAATGTGGAACGGATATAGCTCGGGATGTGGATTTTATTGTTGGTGTGGAAGTATTCTTCGCAGATGTTTCGTACAGATACAAGGCACCTCGATGGGATCACCAATCTCAGGGCTCATTACAGAAGAGGTGATGCAGATATTGAATGCCATTGCAATTCCCATCTAAATTGTGGGTCAGGATAGTTGATGACACCTTTGCCATCCACCTGGAGGAGACACATCGCCCAGTCAATAATGTACTTACTGGAATCAAATTCACCCTGGTGAAAGAACACAACGGACAACTCCTACTCTTGGATGTATTGGTCAAACGAACTGAAGAACGACAACTGGAAACCAATGCCTGTCTTGAGCTAACCCACATGGACCAAATCCTCAGTTTTCAGAGCAACCTCCTCCCTCTGGAGCACAAGAGAAGCCGAGTACAAAAACTTTTCAGCCGAGGAGTAACTCGTTGCAGCGCTCTCCAGCTTCAAAACGCAGAGAAGGCCCACGTTTTTAATGTTCTCTGACGTTAAGGATACCCACAAAATTTTGTACTACGCTGCTTACATGTGATGCTCAACCAGAGAACGGCAATTGAGGCATTGAGAGAGCCCCAAATGCACAACCATAGGAGTGACCGACGAGTAAACAAACAACAGTGCCATAAATACAAGGCGTCTCGGAAATTGCAACCAGATCAGTACATCCATCAGGAAAGTTTGTACACAAAACAATGACCACATCGAGGGCTGTCCTATCAAGGCCGAAGGATCAACTACCAAAGAGGATTCCTAAAAAGTAGTATACAAATTAAAGTGTTGAGACTGTGACAAATACTATGACGACCGAACGAGCAGGAAACATAAGACACCTCACAAAAGGCACAAGAAGAAGTCTCAAATCTTAATCCACATGGATACTGAGAATCGGATCTTCGAACTGGGCAAAGCACGAATAATTTGAACAGCAACCACAAAGTCAAAACGGGGATTCATCGAAGCATGGCATAAACAGTCATATAGAACTGGAACCCATCCATCATAACCTAAGGAAACACTGGTAACCCAAAACTGCTCCAGGTACAACCGACCCACAACCATTTTTAACCAGTTTGAAACCGGTTTAAACCGGTCCATGAAAGCCAATAACCAATGAGGAAATAGTGGTTGCCACCATGACAACGACGTAGTCAATCGAATTATAAAAAGTGGTCAAAAGGGATCAATAGGATTGAAAGGACTCAAACGGCCAATGAAAACCCTCGAACAGAAATATATAAGCGCGATCACACTGCGTGCTGACCCTTCCCCGAATGGCATTGACGATTTTACCTGGCCGGGCTACGGACAACACTTCCAGCTTGGAGAACACACTAACAACAACACATTTTCTCATTACGCCTTTTTCCAGTTTCAAATTAGCCGGAATAGCCACCAAGACATTGATTCATTTCTTTGACTATACAGTTTCTTCTCATGTTTCTCATCGTTTGACCAAAATAACCATACTTACTTCTCTTTCATTTATTAGACATCCAAATCCCGATCTTGATGCATCTTAATCATTGAGTTACGAATGGATACCGCACACCAGAGAAGGGCTGCCTCCTCGGGCAATATGCGCCGGACGAGTTCGTAAAAGAGACCTAATGTATATCGCACGTAAAGAAATCCAACGCGAATGGTGTGTTTGGAAAGTTTCACAGGCTTTTGCAGTCGCTCATTTCCCGTTGAATGGTATAGAGTTGCT